ATTCTTTGTTATTTCTACTCTTGTGTTCCGTGGTGTTCTTCCATGGTCCTAACCTTGGACCATAACAATAATCGATCCTGACCAGGCATATAGATTTCAGTCACATTCTCGCCGACGTGACCTGGCTTCTCTCTGTCTTTTCCACAGATATTTCAATGTCCTGATGAACTTTTTTATCTGGTGCCTCGAAAGCATAAATATAAGCATTCTACTAGATTGACAGTTAGGTCTCACCATTTTACTGTTGAACTAGTTAGATGCATCTGTCAATTCTATTCTGACAGTTTCTTTTCTCACACTTTTCTTGCTTCCCTTCAAACCTATAATGTTCTGAACTTTAAATGCAACGTCAATCGACATCATCTGTCTTTCTAAACCCTGTTCCTTTATTGGCCTTTCTTCAATTTATCCTCACTAAAGTCTTCTCACGCTCTGGGAAATCCAGTGTCTTATTGGAATTATCGTCTTGCTTAGCGTAGAATGATTTAAAAAAACGCTATTTTATTTACTTTTTTTTTTTTACTAAAAAGATTACTAAAAATTTAATCTTGTTGCCTACGGCTAACGTTCTGCAAGCAATATGGCCATTTAGATTGTCTTTGGTTTATTTTTTGTACAGACTTGTTACAAGAAATCAGCAGGAAATAAAGAAATATGGCGGACGCTTATGAAATGATGGTCGTTGAAGATACCCGTTGTGCTATTATTATTAATGTGGAGTGAATAAAATGTTAAGCAATGGAATATTCAAGTCTGTGCGTTGAATATTGTTGATCTGATTTTCTTGATGTATATCTCGAGATACTTTTTTAAAGCAATTCACCCGAGCAAGACAGGAGTGAAACTTACACACCAGGGGGTTACAGAAGATTGAGTAAAGAGACGTGTTTGAAGAAAGGATATAGAGAAGGACAGGGAACAACATCATGGTATCATAAGATGTCGATTGACATTACACTTGAATATTTGAAGATTATAGTTATCAGAGAAGCATGCAAGAGGAAGAGAGTTCCACAGACGAGAAGTGCGAGAAAAGAAGCTTTTTAAGTAGAGGAGACGGTTACATTGAACCGTTTGGACAGTGAAAGGGTGGGACTGAGATGCCAGACGAATAGATCGCCTAAATTCATGCAGTTTGGGAACCAGCGAAACTAGCTCGTAAGAACAGTTGCCGTGAAAATATTTGTAGAAGAGACAGAGGGAAGCCACGGAACGTCTGTGAGAAAGTGATAGTAGATGAGATGCCAGATCAGGACCTATCGCATTTCATATTCGTCTCTGGATTTTGTTGAGGACCTCCAGTGGGGGCAACAGACCATATATGACAACAATATTCCATGGTTGATTTATAGATTGGAAAGATGGACTCAGAGGAGAAAAACTTTCTGGCACGACACAGAGAACCAACTTTCCTTGCGGTAGATGAAGCTATTGATTCAATGTATTTTGTTTCACCTCATGTCAGTGCACAGCGTGAGACCAAGCAGGCGTAACGAGGTGCTCTCGAGCAGTCGGGCATCAGCCATCCTGATGAGAAGCAGGGAGGGTTCTTTGTGGTGGGTAAAGAAGAGCAGTTTCGTTTTGGAGGCAGTAAAGTTTACAAGCCATTTCCTGCCCCAGTCAACCACAGAATGAAGGCCCTTTTCGAGATCAGCGGCCAGGTTAGTTTTGTCAACGATACCAGATTTACTATTGAGGCAGGAGTAAATAGTAGTGTCGTCCGCGTAGACGCCTACTTGGGAACTGATGACATCGGGAAGATCATTAATGAAGATCAGGAACATTGTAGGGTCCAAGATAGGGCCTTGGGGAACACCAGCGTTCGTGATAAAGGAGCCGAAGAACCTGTTTTGGACGACCTTCATTTCACAGTTTGACAGGAAGTCAAATAATGTTCCTGTAATACCGTATCCCCGAAGTTTACAAAGAAGGCCGGCGTGCCAAACCCTATCAAACGCTTAAGAGATATCTAGATCCACGGCTCGAGCTTCTCCGTTATTGTCAAGTGCTTGGTATACAAATTCAGTTATGGCCGTGAACACGTCAGCGGTAGATCGGCCAAGCGGAAGCCATATTGCTTGTCGGAGAGCAGATTATGTGAAGTAAGGTTCTTAACCACTTCGGCGTTGATTAAAGCCTTGACAAGAAAGAATCTGTAATGTAATCGATGCAGACCAGACATCCCGACTTCAATCACTTTCCGACATGAAGTTCTCTCTGTCTTTTCTACAGATATATTCATTGTTCCTGCTGCTCCGACCACCGACTAGATTGGCAACTAGGTCCACTGTTTCACTGTTGAACTAGCTAATGCGACAGCGACTTTTTCAACAGTTTATTTTCTCATGATCTGATTTCTTGCTTCCCTAATAACTAAATGTTCCAAACCAGGCATTTCTCCTTCTTGAACGCTGTTTTTATTGGCCTTTCCTTAATCCGCTTTCCTCACCTACATTGACGTAGAACCCTCTGTCTTTTATCTAATTTACGCTTTTTTCTTTTTTTTTACTCAGTATTTACTCTAAAAGTTACTAAAAATTTATTCCTGCTGCTTAACGTTCTACCAATCAATGTGGCCATTCAATTGTTTTTTGGTTTATTTTTTTGCAGACTTGTTAGATATCAGCAGGAAAATAAAGAAATATGGCGGACGGAAATGACCCCCGTTTTATTATTTTTTGCTGTTAAAATGTTAAGCAATGGACATTCAAGTCCGTGCGTTGAATATTAATTAATCTGATGCTCTAATATATATCTCGAGCGTTTAATTAATCGATGCAGACCAGACATCCCACTTCAATCACTTTCCCGCCGACATGACACCTCTCCGATTTCTTGGATATTTCCATTATTCCTGCTGCATCGACTACATAAATTTAAGCGTGTGACTAATTGGCTTCCCAAAATTTAAACGTCAATTCTACTCTTTTTATTTTCTCGCCTTCTTGAACCCTTTCTTGTTCCCTAATAACTTTTCAAAAAATCTAAACACGTCAATCACCATTTTTCTGCCTTCTTGAACCCTGTTCCTTTATTGGCCTTTCAATCCACTTCATTAAAACTTTCTCATTCTCTATCACTCTCAGTAATCCCTTGCATCTTAGTGGCATTATCGCCTTGCTAGGAGTGAAACGATTTTAAAAAAGTATCATTTGATTATATCAGACCCACATCATTAGTTTCTTCGCTGAATCTATCCATACTAACATTTTCAGGTCAAGGGTCAATCCTCCTAATTCTTAACATCTCTTACATTAATAACATACTTCTCATTCAGCATTAGCGGTTTTTTTACTTTAACACTACCTGAATGGCTCTTGAGCCTGAATAAAAAATTTAAGTTTTAAAAATACCTTTTATTCTATTCTCAGTATCGTTAAAATAAGGATATTGATTGTATCACTTTTTTAAAGAATTCTCCGTTCTCTGCGGAGGAGAGTTTGTAGAAAATCCTTGCCGTAAAAAGTTTGGAGAGAAGAGGGTTGTCCCTGTGTCGAAAACATCTGGGTAGCCAGAGAAAACGAGTGTATTTAGGCGGAAGGGATATGATCTAGAGAAGCGTTTGTTTTCGTACTAAATCCACTTTTGTGTCTATGCCGGTCAGTTCGTCGCGGGCATTTAAAATTTATCCAACCAGACAGTTGTCCCTTTGTAGTTGTCAACTCAGAGAGGCAAGAACTGAGCGTTACTCTATAGAAGCAGAAAGGGTCAGATTTCACTTGAATCCTGCCAGCTTTAGGGCGGTCAGACAATTTGAACTGAGAAAAGAAAGCCCATCCCCAGTTCAAATTCTCATTCATTTGCAAAGATAGAGACGTATCACAAATCTCTTTGAAAAAGAGGTAAGTTAATGACAAAGATTTTCGTTTCTTCCGTAAACTTTTGGAGTCAGACATTTTAGGTCCATCCCCTTTCATTAAACATATTTACGCTGACGTTCACATTTCTGTTGTAAAGACAAATGAATCCGGAATAGCTCAGCCTGATGGAACAATTTGTTCGTACAGTTTATGACCTCTTACTCTACTCAAGTGGCTCTTAGGCCTTGTACAGGAAGAGACAGTTTGAATTTTTAGGGCCCATAATGAGGAAAGTGCGCTTGGAAAATCTGATATTCACAGGACAGATTGAAGGTAAGATGAGCAGAGGAAATTAAGACACAACCTAGGTAGCGAACTTGAACGAATAAATGGCAGAGCAGAGTTTCGGGGATATTTTAAAAAAAAAAAAGAAAAAAAAAAAATTCAAAGGATAGGAAGTTGTGGAGAACCATTTTCGCCAACGTCCAGAAGGGACACGACACATAGAAGAACAATTTCAGTTCAAGGTAGCCGTCACGCTAAGTAATTACCTAAAGGAAATAGGGCAAGGGTTACTATATCGCTACTGAAGCGCCCCCAAAGATGACGTGCTTAGGGCCGGGGGTGAGCATTTTTTTTAACTTTTGGCCGACCTTCGTGTGCAACAACACCGTCCCAACCCACTATAATAATACAGGGTGAACATTGGAGTAAAAAATATGTAAGAATGCTTAACTCTGAACTTGAAAAGATAAGGAAGTATCTACTCAGGAGTCATACTTAACAAATTAAATACGAAGAGAATGTATTTGATTCGTTCCAGTGGCATGGCAGGTCTTAGCTGTGACGGTCTGAACTGGTGAAACTAAAGACCATAGCTTGTCAGAACATCTGCTTGGAAATAGCGATAGAGTAACTATAGACAGGTGGCATTTGCTCTGTGGGATTGATTGATTCGTTTTTTACGGTTTATCAACCTTTTTGCCGATTATTTAAAGCCAGAAAATATTTTCAGGTTGTAAGGATTTTTTCAGATAAAATTGATTTAGTGATACAATTTTTACTAATTAACCCATAGCTGGGGAGAAGATACTTTTCCAAAGGGTATTTGCGCGTAAATGAATATAACGAACCCAAATTCGAACACGTCTTCCTGATTAACAATTCCAATATCCATTACACAATCTTCACATCCAAGTTTACGTTACCTGGTATTCCCAAGTGGTCACCTATCTAGGTACTGACCAGGCCCGACGTTGCTTAACTTCGGTGATCGTACGGAAACCGGTGTTTCAGTGTAATATGGCTGTAAGCCTGGGATAGGGGATGTAGGGGAAATATTTGAGTTGTAATTTGTTAAAGTTGGTTGTTAGTTGTTTTGTTTTATGGCATATCAACCTCAGTGGGTCATTTAATGCCAACAAAATTTTTGAAATAGATTCAAAGCAATAATTTGGTTTGGTTCGTTTTACGGCATATCAACCTCAATGGGTTATTTAATGCCAACAAAATTTTTGTCGCTGGTAATATTTTTTTCCTTCAAAAATCAATTTTTGGTAATATTCTTTTCATCAAAAATGTATTGCTGTCAATATTTAAAAAAAGGTATTTCTGATATTAAAATCTATTTCATAGTGTTTTGACCCCCAGTTTATGTGATTGCTGGCCACTCGTATTCGAGGATACCCGTCTACTAGGGTGGCTAGCCAATCCCTATTGCAGACGCTTGCTCAGGCGCATTTGTGTTTACTCAACACCTACAGAGCCCACCTGTGGTTTATACTGCAACTATGCTGAGCAGACCTGGGAAAAGCGTGTTATCTAGCGTGATCAACAATTTGAACAAGGCCAGCACGCTCAAATACTCGGCCAAGATAACATGTGACTTCGTGCTAGAATACCTATCGACTGTCTCCAGGGGTATCATCTACCCAATTTCACTCACAAGGCTTGGGTTAACCCGTCGTATCGTTTTCAGATACACTGGGACTGACACCTTCAGTCCGATAACATCACAAATTGTCCATTATGAGATACGAACCCTGTGTTTTATAAATTATGCATAATTGTGTTTTATTAACTATGCATAATCAAAATGTACGTTACAAATGTGCATAATCAAAAGTACGTTACAAATATCTGTCGAACTATTAGGGGAGCTTGACATATTTTGGAATGGTATTAGAATAATCAAGAACTGATACTGCCAGCATTCCGCTTTCACACATTTAGAAAATGAGTTAACTAGATATAGAAAAATAGAAAGGGGTGTGCTACAAGGATATGTCTTCTCACTGGACCTATTCCACAGCAAAGGCAAATATGATGTTGCCTATTCCCACTCTTCTGTGGAGGTCTTTTGGTTACCGGTCTTGAGGCGATCATAATAAAATTGTCTCCATCTCTTTCTTCTCTCGGTCGGGTGTCGAAATGTTTTGGGATTCGGAGATAAATAACACCACCAAAAAGAATTTGAAATATTTTATTCATCACGTAGACTTAATTATTTTTAACTAGCCAGGGGGTTTTCTCTATCACCCCCACTAAGGAGCAAGTTCACCGAGACACAAAATAACCACGTGTATTGTGTATTGTGTGTGATGTGTAAAACCTAACTCAATTAAATCACTTTCTATCTCCCTAACATTCCCACGTTCGGCTCAGTCAATCAAAATCGACATCCCTATTTTGTCTACCATCTGACCTTAAACGTTAGCCTCTGAAGGTCTGAGCCAAAATACACTGCCACTCAAAAATTATAATTTGAAACTATTATTTAATGCCGAAAAAAATAGAAATCCTACCAGGATTCATTTTTGGCGGTCACAGTCGTAACAACATAAGATATGCAGATGACACAGTGTTGACAGAAAACACGGAAAGGAAACTAAAAAAAAAACTTCTACAGGAGGTCGTGAAGTAAAGCGAGAATTGTTCATATTTACACCCTCTTTCGGCCTGAATGAAAAAACAACTTTTAAACACATGAAAATAAAGACCGTGCAGTGTTTAGACAGAATTGTTGATACATTGAAACACAGGTTTCAGACAAAGGAATCATTCAATATTCATTGAACTAGTAACCAGTCGGTTGAAATTCATAATTTTTTTCTCTTAAAACAAACTTTCTGGAAAATAGGTTTCTCAAATCCAGTAGATTTTATCGCTCTTTCCAGTATTGAGAGCAGTTTACGTCCTAACCTTTTGTTTGAAGTAGTGTGGAACATCAATATCTTGATTATGTCATTATCTTCTCTCCGGGTTGCATGCGCCATCCATTTCAGTTGTTGCTGCTGTTGGTATTCTTCAAGTGATATGCTGTTGGTATTCTTCAAGTGATATGCTGTTGGTATTCTTCAAGTGATATGCTGTTGGTATTCTTCAAGTGATATGCTGTTGGTATTCTTCAAGTGATATGCTGTTGGTATTCTTCAAGTGATATGCTGTTGGTATTCTTCAATGCTGTTGATATGCTGTTGGTATTCTTCAAGTGATATGCTGTTGGTATTCTTCAAGTGATATGCTGTTGGTATTCTTCAAGTGATATGCTGTTGGTATTCTTCAAGTGATATGCTGTTGGTATTCTTCAAGTGATATGCTGTTGGTATTCTTCAAGTGATATGCTGTTGGTATTCTTCAAGTGATATGCTGTTGGTATTCTTCAAGTGATATGCTGTTGGTATTCTTCAAGTGATATGCTGTTGGTATTCTTCAAGTGATATGCTGTTGGTATTCTTCAAGTGATATGCTGTTGGTATTCTTCAAGTGATATGCTGTTGGTATTCTTCAAGTGATATGCTGTTGGTATTCTTCAAGTGATATCGTCTCTGTTATTTGGGGCAGGTATTTGTTTGTCATTCGGTAGCACCTATTCACAAGCTTTGAAGAAGGATAATCTTCACTCGCTCAAAACCATTTTAACCATTGATCAGTCCCAGTATCGATTGCGGTTTCCTTCATAATCATTTGTTTGAGGTCGTGTGGAATGTCATTATCGTTTATTATGTCATTATTTTTTCTTCGAATTATATATGTTATCCATTTTAGTTGTTGCTGCTGTTGGTAGTCATCAAGTGATGTTATTTGATACGGTTCTTTGTGATTCTGTAGCACCAGTCCATGATGTTGCAAGAAGGATGGTCCTCACTAAAACCTACAGTCTACATTCATTTGAAGTCATTTAATCTATCTTTTTAGATTTGAAGATAAAAAAAGGGAAAAAAAAGCAAAGAAAGTCAGAAGAAAAATACACTGCCTTATTTCCACCCTCCTATGACCTGATGCAAAAAAAAAACAACTTTTAACCAGATGAAAATAATGACTGTACAGTATTTAGACAGACTTGAAAGGGAAGGTAGTGACACGTTCCCGACAATGGTAACGGTAATATTAACCGTTTCCTTATAAGGAAACATTTACCATTCATTGACCAAGCAACCGGTACATCTTTCAGTTGAAATTCATAAAATCTTTCTCTTAAACCAATTTTTCCAGAAATCAGGCTTCTCAAGTCACGTAGCTGTTATCACTCTTTCCAGTATTGATGGAGGTTTCCTTCCGAACCTTTATTTGTAATAGTATGGAATATCAACATATTATATCATTATTTTCTCTTTGATTTACATGTGATATCCATTTTAGTTTTTGCTGCTACTGAAAGCCCTCTACTGATATGGTTTCTATTATTTAGTACAGTTATTTGTGATTCTGTAGCGACAGTCCACAAGATTCAAAGAAGTGTGGTCATTATCAATGCCCGTAGATTTCACGCGCTTAAAGCCATTTTTAAACATTGATCTTAGAAAGTTGTTGTATGCAGATGACAGTAGGTACCTCTAATTAGTTTCGTGACCTAAGTTAAAATTAATCTTTAAAAATGAAAAGACATTCTTGAAGCTTTCTTTTTAGATTTAATTGAAACCAAAATTATTTCTTTTATTTCCAGTAAGCAAAATACATTTGTGCATTTCAACTGGAAATTATATTGATTGGAACCTCAACTTTTTTGGTCGCTTTCAGAAAATCGTTTAAAATCGGCCATTTTTGACACATTTTGACACATTTGTAAACAAAAGTTAATTCTCAGTTTTAAAAAAACTCCTAAAAATAAAATATGCTTGTTTGAAATTTTATTTGAGAAATATTAGCTGATTTAAAGTACAATTAATCTGATTTGAAACAAATATAATTTACTTTAAGTTGAAAATAACAGAGAAATGGATTTTTAAAACAAACATTAGCGGTGATTTACTCGCTTTTCATCGCCTACCAATCACTCCACATGTGCAGAAAGGTGTTGACAGATGCATTTGTTATTCTACGGAGACTTTATCTGTTAAAACATCATTTAAGAAAATAACGGATGAGCGCTTTTTTATATAATTTTTAATAATCAGGAATCTTAAGAATGTTGGGAAATATTCACCGTAATATAATTTAAGGATTATTTAAGAATTATTTAAGGATTTATTATCTGATAATGCCGTGTATGGTCGACCATACTTTCAAACAGACGCAGGTTACGTATTATTGTATATATATAAAAAAAAATAAAATTATTTTTTTTTAAATTTCGTTGCAAAATAATTTGAATTAAGTTTTGCAATTTTTGATTAGTAAATATTGTTTTCAATTAATAACAATATTACCTAATCGGATTGAAGTAAAGGAGAATTTTAAACGATAGATTATTATAATTAATCTTTTTTTAATGAAAACAATTCTTTATAAAAAATTATAAAAATTTATTATTCATCGAAAGAAGTTCTTAAAACAATACTGTCCTAAATAAATTTTATTTATCAAAGCAATTAAAAGCTCTTCTAATTAAATAATGTCATAGTTTTATTGCATTTTTTTATTTTAAGATTCGGAGATTTTCGGAAAATGAGTAACAGTTTGAAAAAAAATGAATGATTTACATTCTCCAAGGATAAAAAACAATTTTGAGACTGAAATTTAATTTCTCGAAATTTGAAGAAATAGTTAAAAGGTCATTTGCTAATCATATTTCTGCCCTGCTTAGGGCCGATAAAAACACAGTAGGTTGACACTGAGCTATTTCTCATACCACACGTTACTACTACCGCTAATACGGTCTGACTTTAAAACTACCTAATACCGATTCGAGATTGACATTTCTCCAGACTGCTACCAACACCCGTGTTATTAACGAATGATTTTTTAAAAAAATTAAATTTAAATTGCATCAATTCACAACAAAGACGTTGGGTTTAAATAAGATACAAACGTGCTTGCCAGGGGAGTTTTTTATGTCATGTAGTTACTTCATTTATTCTTTTCCTTTAGTT